CGTCTCCGTCGCAGACCCCACAGACATCCCAGACTTTCCCAGAATGCAACACGCCGTCACAGCCGAACAGCTAGTTAGACAAACAGTGAGAGTGACTTTGAGCGAGTTCCAAACTCCCTGTGTTCGTCTGTGTCTCTCTACCTGACATCTGCCCCGCACACAGGCAGCCGTGGAGCCAAAGGGGGGGGCAGCGGGGGGGTCACAGCGGGTCCCGTCCACGAACTGTGACCCGCGGCTGACGATGAAGCTCTCTCCCTGGGCCTGACACAGCAGTCTGCACTGCTGCTCCCCTGGTGGTCACAGAGGGAGAGAGCGGGGGTCAGAGGAGAAGGTGTTCCCGTGGTTGGACAGCAGGGGGCAGCGGTCACACTCACCCTGGGCAAACCCCACCGCGGGGACCCAGGTGTAGAAGGAGGCGGCGGCGGGCTGCAGGTGGAGGGGCTGGGGGTCCGTCTGAGAACACTGCTCTGCTATGAAGTCCAGCTGAGTGGAGTCACATGACTGCGGGAGTGGACCGCGAACCACGGGTTTGATCAACGTTACTACGACCTCAATGCTCTGACATCACAGTCACAACCACTTCCTGTTGTGTCTCCGTCTTCATCTGCTCTACGTTTTTATTACAGCTGCTAAGTTTAAATGAGTTACTGCGAGTAGTACTACTGTAGTACTACTGTAGTACTACTGCAGTAGTACTGCAGTAGTACTGGACCGACCTGCTGTTGACAAAGTACGGCCTCCAGGTCCAGACCCTGACACTCAGTTCCTCCAAAGGCCGGTCTGGAACATCAGAGGAGACCTCAGTTAGTTCTCCAAAAAAAAAATCAGCTGGTCGGACACCGCCCTCTGGTGGACGTCTGGAGTCACATACAGATGACTGACCTCGGGTTGTTGCACTGCCTGGTACGATGAGTGACCCCCCCACCACAGGTACGGGAACACGGGGAGAACTCAGACCAGCTGGACCAGGAACCATGGACCACAGAGGAGGAGAAGTGGTCCGGTCTGACACAGAGACCCTTCAGACACCACTGGAGGAGGAAGAGGAGGAGGAGGAAGAGGAGGAGGAGGAGGAGGAGGAGGAGGAGGAGGAAGAGGAGGAGGAGGAGGAAGAGGAGGGAGAGGAGGAGGAAGAGGAGGGAGAGGACAAGAAAACCAGTAACAAAGGGGGTATTTGGGTGGGGGGGGGGGGGGGGGGGGGGGGGGGAATTGCAAAAAAGGGGCAGAGGTTTGGCAGCCACCCACATTCCAGAGATGTATAGTACAGTTTTTGGTGCAGCCCAGTGGTTTATATCAGAACAAGATATTGATCTGATGAGCAGCAGACCGTCTACATAAATGATACTCGTCA